GGGCAGGCCTGAATTTTTTTTTTTTGTTGCACCAAGGCACTCTACATTAGTTTCGCCTCTAGGTTGGGGTGGAGGGAGTGATTGCATGCCCAGGGGGCCCAAACAGATGCTTGTCCAGGGTCCAATCAATATTAAAGACGGCCCTGGGCATTCCCTCCAGTGGCCATTGGAGTAACTAAATGACCTCCATTTGTTTAAATAAACATAGGGATTAAGGAGAGAGCGCAGGTAACTTTTTTCTTTGGTTTTTACTATATGTATTGGAGCTGATGTGTACTGTAATCATTGCTGCCGCCCAGGAGTGATGGGAGTGAGCGCAGGACCTTTCTTTTTGTAATAGTACAGTGGTTTACATACATGTGAAAGACTTAGTAGGGCGTCACTGTAGTAGTGAGAGGCTGGAGACTGAAAGGGTTACTAGAACGTTAATCTGCATGCCAGGGCCGGACTGGCCCACCGGGATACCGGGAAATTTCCCGGTGGGCCGCGGCACCTGGGGCCGGTCTGACAGCCCTAATCATTGGGTTGACAGCTCCCGTGATCCCCGCGGCCATGTGTGAGCTCTGCGGCCGCACAGAGCCCCATGGGATCCCGTGATCATATATAAAAAAAAATTTGCAGCGGGGGCGGGGCTTAGCGTGTGGCGGGGCTTAGCGTGCGGCGGGGGCGGGGCTTAGCGTGCGGCGGAGCCCGGCTGACTGCAGCATGGGAAGCAGGAAGGAGTCCCTGCTTCCCCAACAACCAGCCTGCAGAAGCTCCAAGCAGGAGGTAAGAAGCAGGTCAGTGTGTGACTGTGTGTGACTGTCTGTGAGTGACTGTGTGAGTGTGTGACTGAGTGTGTGAGTGTGTGACTGTGAGTGTAAAACCTTGGACTCCTAAAGAGCCATTTTGCTTGTATCCTATTTGTAGCACAGCTACCTTCTGGAGTGTAAAACAGGTAGGAAGTAGAAGTTATGTAGGTTAGTAGGAGAAAAGATAAAAAAAAACAAGGTAGGGTCACAGTTTGGTCACTGAGTCCTGTTCCCTCCTTGGGGTGAAGGGAGGTATGTTCGCCACGTCCCATGTGCCTGTTGTGGCTCTCACTCTGCATTCTTGTGGATTGTCCCTCAGCCCAATCGCTGCCAGGAAGTTTGTGGCTTCTGCTTTTGCGTGATCGTTCTCATGGATTTCCTCCATAGCAAGGTGGAGTGACTGCCTGCTTGGAACATGGATATCTTGTGAGACTCAAAGTCCATTGGTGAGTGGTGACTTCTTCTGCGTGGCCTTCATCAGAGCCTGTTTGTCTTGTAGTATCCAACAGCGTAGGATTAGGTCTCTGGGAGCAGTGGGTGGTGCCTTAGGTGACTTAGCGATGCGATAAACCCTGTCGGTCGTGAATTGCTAGGCTTGTTTCGCTGAAAGCAGGGTATTCACCAATCATCAAATAGAATGGGGTAGTTCTTCCATTGCCACCGAGTCTGAGACCCCTCGGAGCTTTATGTTTTTTCTGTTTTTCTGACGAGTGCTCTCATCCAGGGTGCCTACACGCAATGTAAGGGAGGATTGGCATGCTTGCAGCTGTTTGACTGTTTCTCTGACTGCCGTAAAGTTTTACTGCAACATGGCGACGTCTGTTTCTGCGGTTTAAACGCAGGAGGTGACTGCATGCACTTCAGTCCTTTCCACTGCTAAGTCAGCCGCAAACAGCTGTTGGATTTTAATGAAAAGGTTGTCAATGTCCTGTTTTGTTGCAGGAATCAGCCTTGCAGGGGTGGTTGTGGCTGGGCTCCCTGGTGTGGGCTACTCTGGCTCAGGGGCAGCCCTATCTCTGCTGTCCTCTGTGGGAGGGTTATAGGCTTCAGGTTCGGCCTGCTCCAGGCCCCTGTTCCTAAGAGTGCCCTGGAGCAGTATGCCGATGCCATGTGATTCCCTGGGTGCCTGCACCTGGGGTGTTTGGGACTTTCGTCTCATTGCACCCACATTATGGAGCTGACTCTTGAGGATCCGGTATAAGCCACTACGGGTCCCACCAGGCCGCGACTGCGTTAGCTGTGCCTCATAGACTTTTCGCATGGGAGGCTTTTGAAGGCCGGCGTTTGTTTCTTGCGCCCTGCGCTGAAATGAAAGGCATCCACGTGGACCTCTCTGCCTCCTGCGGTAGATATAAGATCGTGTATGTGTGGATGCTCAGTAGAAACGCTGATATTCACGGGTTTAGTGTCTTAAATCTGCGAAGCTCCAAAAATGGCATCCGTGCTTGTTCGCCACTAGGCCCCGTCCCTTAAAGCGGCACTGTCATGCCGAATCTCGTTTTTTTTTTTTTTAACCCCCCTCCCGCCTCCCCTACATCCAATTGACCCACTAGTCGCCCCTATGCCCCCCACATTACCTATTTTTTATTCCTTATTTTCTGCCCTCGATCTTATTCAGGGGCCATCTTTGTGTGGGTAGATGAAGTCCCTGTGGGACACGTCATCAGCCCACACTAGATAGACTGTGAGATTCCCGCACATGCCCAGTGAAACACCTGGACATGCAAACGGGAATTTCATCTATTCATTCATTCATCAGACAGACGAATGAGTGAATAGAAAGATCAGCCGAACAAACTAACACTATGTATCAGTGTTAGTTTGTTCGTTCAGTTTATTACAAGGAGGGAGCTACCGGCATGCAGCTCCCTCCTTGTAATATGTAACTATAGAAGCGTCAGGGAGCAGTGCTCCCACCACTTCATAAGCCCCC